ATATATATATATATATAAAATGCGTTTAATAACATATAAAAACAGTTAATACTCAGCAGGGAAAGATATTAGACACTAATAACATTTTTATTTTTGAATTTATTTATTTATAAATTTAAAATAATTGCTGATATCTCCAAATATGTACCGTTATTTTTAATGCACTTAACATAACGGTTCAAAACTAAAACTAAAACTCTTCCGTTTAATAAATCGACGATCAATCACTGGCTGGATAATTCTGGCTAAGATGATATTTTTCGCAAAAAAATTTTTCACGAAAGGGAATAATCGGGGTATCATTAACTTAATTATTGATTTATTAAAGAAGAAAATTTCACTGTGATTTTGAACCAATACGTTACAAGTCCATTAAAATTAACAACACATAATGGCAACATAAGCAACTCTTTCGAATTTATATAAATAATAAATTCAAAAATAAAAAGATTATTAGACGCATAAGACTTTTGCCGGGTCCTCTTCTCTATCAAATAATGTAAATATATTTTGTAGATAATTTAAAGATAAAACTATACTATGCTATACATACCAGTGAAATAGGATTATTAAAGATTGCTATAAAGTACTTATTATTTTAAGAAATATGTTATTATATTCGGTAATATAACAGAAAATTAAGCAAAGATCTGATTATGATGATATTATTTTACTAACTATCGTTCTCGTTATCTCATCGTTCAAACTAAAATAGATATAAATATTTAAATAAGTATCTGTATATATTGTTGTTATGTATATACGCATATGCGTTCGTCACATTATTGTACGTGTATAAACCAAATTTATGATAAAAATAAACATTTAGAATTAAATTTATTCGTTTAGGTGTTGTTGTTTACATTTTAATATGATTTTAATTTTTAAAATGTTAAAAATATTTTATTTGCATAATTAGAAATAATTAATAAGCTCATTGTACAATATATTAAAAAATATAATATACACAATAAATAATATGTTAGCACATCATGAAATATGTTAAAAAATCCTATTATTATTATAATTATTATATATTATTATATTTTATATATATTATTATATATTATAAGATTTTTAATAATATAAAATATTTAATAATATATATATTATTAAATATATTATATTTAATAATATAAAATTTAATAATAACATTTAATAGAGATATTCTGTTGTACAATCTCTTTTTTCAAAAACATTGTCCAGACTACATTAATAAAGTGCAAAAAAATTCATAGAAAATTAAAATTTCTTTCAATAAATTATAAATATTCCGCGGTCAATACACACCGAGATGACTTTGATTCAATGAATAATGAAGAATATTATAAAGGAAATTTTTATTAGACTGGGAGAAAAAAATTAAGACATCTATTGCGAAGTAATTTTTATTTTCAAATATCATTTTATTTTTAATATTCTGTATTAAGATTTTTTTAGATATATTCTTACAATTAAAATCATAACAATTCAGAATTTCACAGGGATCATATTCTTGTTAACCGCAAATTACTTTATAATATCCTACTTTATAATATTCAATTACTAATATAATATCCTACGTGATATGAGAAATTTTATGTAATATAATTTGTTCACACTGTTCTTTCTTAAAATGCATATTATCTAATATATGTATGTCTGTGTGTATGTGTGACAAAAATAAAATCATACACACATACACACATCTGATAAAAATCAAGATTATAAAGTATTATACTAAGTTGTTTATATTATGCAAATTGTTCTTAGTATTCTTCGCATTATAAAAGAACATGTTGTCTCGTCCAATTTGATCTACATTTAATTAATATTTTTTAAATACTTAAACTTATAATCACTGTATAAAACAATATAAATTTTTCATCGAAAAACAAAATTCAAATAAAATGTTTTTAACCAATTCCAAGAATATTTTGCAAGTATATTGTAAAATCTTAATACAATTTCTTATCATGCATGTTTTGTAGTAGCATATGCAAAAAAAAAAAAGGTAATATTGATGGCAAAAAATAGATCTATTTAAATGAGTTTGAAAAATTTTGAGTACATTTGTTTCCCGAGATTTTTACTTTTATGTACATTTATATTTATTATGCTCCGTTTATAAACTGATATTCCTATTGAAATAATGAAATAAATGGCTGAGATACGAGACTAGTATATAAATGTGTTTGTTCATGATTATGTAATATACATATATAATGGTAATTATTACATTATGAAATAATGAATATGTAGCAACAAATATCAGAAAATGTATGTAACAAAGTTATATAATTCATAAGTTATATATTTTATAAGATCCTCAATACTGTAATATTTATTCTGCATCAGTATAAACATCTTTAAGCATTGAACACAGAAATTTAAACTTCACTAATTATAAAATCTATAAAATTATTTTATACGTGTAAAATTTAATTATTAAAAAGTGACAATATTCTCGCTCTTAGCGGAAATATCTGCATAAATAAATTTTTTTTTTCTTTACTTGAACACAAGATATTTAGAAATAATATCTCACCATACTAATAAGTGCTAATAAACGTTTATATTAATTATTTATACGTACATTATGACAGAAATTTGTTGTGTTTTTTAATATTCTTTATATCTTCTTGACTAGATATAATAAGTCTTGCTAAATGTATTGCTTTATTATGTTTCCTAAAATCATTCCGTATCATTATTTTTGTCATAAATTGTAAAATATTTATCAAATTCTAAAAACAAACATGTAATTTATATTAAAGTAAAGCTTAGGAAAGTGTGTTTAGTAAGTTTAAAGCCATTTAAAAAAACCTACTTAAAAAAATTGGTTATGAATGTTGATACAAAAAAATGATGCAAAAATGATGCAAAAAGCTCTTCATTAAAATACAATAATGAAAAAATAATATAATTCATATATTCAAATATTTTATATATATCTTTATATAAATTATTTTATTATGCAATTTGATAAGTAAAATATTATGCAGTGCATAACAAAATCACATTATAAAAAAAACTTAATATTAGAATCATTTTTTTCAAAAAATATAACTAGAAATTGTAATAATACACAATCTAATATTTGATATTTAATTTTATAAATTTAATAAAATTAATTTGAATTTTAATAATTATTTTACTTCTATAGAAATTTTAACTTTTCCACATACATATAATTTGTTCATCATTTCTAAAACATTAATTAATTGATATATGATTTGAAAACTGACTTTTTAATTTTCAATTTCAAAAAGATGAGTCGGAGACA